GCCAGGTGTGGATCCCCCGGGAAGACGCCGGGATGCCTGCACCGAGGAGGATGATGCTGCTGCCTGCCCTCAGCACGGCCCTGCCAGCGCCCAGCCGGCTCAGCCCTCACAGAGATGCTGCAGGGAGCTGGCGGCTGCAGCTCCTTTGTGAGTCCCGTTAGTTTGCGTCTCCAGCTCGGGGAAGGTGCTCTCTAGTTTCTGCTTCACCTCCTTCGCAGCTTCAGGTGATTTGCTTCTGTCCCCAGATTGTCTCAGGTTCAGCTCATAGAGTTTGTTTGTGCCTCCAGCATGTTTTAGACTCTAATTTGGTTTCACCTTCCCTGGCTTCTTTCTGGCTTCAGCTAATTTGCAGCTCCAGTTTGTTTCCATGTTCTGTGGCTCCAGTTCATTTCTGCTCTGGCTCATTACCGCTTGTGCGTGTTCAAATGATCTTGGTTTTTGACAGGGCCACAAATCAATCACTATCATAACTTAAACATGAACGGACATATTTGTACGTTGTATAAAGATGGACTAAACTTCTTGGACCAATGCAAGTGGACCTTCAGCCTCCAGTGGGATTCCCCACAGGTGCCCCAATACCGATTCCCACTGTCAGGAAAATCCACAAATGCCAGAAGTTTGTGTCCGTAAAGGAGATAGAGGAGTCCTGCAAGTTTATTCTAATAAAGGGAGGGAGTCCCACACAAGCCCCCAGGGTTTTCTCTCTCTCGGTTTCAGAGGGTGCAGCCTCTATCCTCAACTCCCAGCCGCAGTTGCCCTCTTCCTTTCTCCATTGACTGAGGTACTCAGAAGGTACAGCCTTCCCGAGCCGCCTACAATCTATCCCCCCTTGTACCTACTGTTTTACCCCAAAGTTCAGAAGTTCAGGTTTGTGCAGGCCCACTTGTGTGTTTCAGGAGCCAAGCTGTCTGGTCTCTGCAACAAACCTGCTGCCTAAAGTTACTACAGACATAAAGACCCTTTTCAAAGACGTTAATACCAATACTGTCACTCATCAAATTGGTTGTAAAGACATGAACTTTCCTCTCACCACCTTGATGAATAATGGGAGTGAAGTTCCAAACAAGGTAAAGAACAAAGTGGTTAAGCAATGGAAGCAATAATCACAGGAATATGGAAGAGAGAAAATTGATGGCATAAATTCTTGAAGGGGATAACCACAGAAAGATAACACCCTTGTAATCCAGGATGTGTAATGATGAACTAAAAAATCCCCGGTTTTTACTGCTTCTGTAGTGAGAACTTGCCTTAGTGATGAACTTTTGCTCCTTATAATAGTAAAAACCCCACCCCAGCTCAGGCATCTCCCTCTACAAAAGGACTACCACTCACCAAGCATGGGCTATGATTTCTTGGGACATAATGGCTTTAATTTGAGGTAGAGAAAGGATGAGCCAATAACAACTTAAGCCAAGTAGTGACTTAAGTAAGACTTAACAGCCCAAGTTTGTGCCTCGGGGTGCTGGCTCTGAGATATACCACCCAGCACCTCTTTCTGTGCAGAACAGTAAATATAATTACGTGGTTAGAGAAATCTCCTTTCTTACAGTGACTGAGTTAGGTGGACTATCTGATCTAGGTGTGTTAACCTATAGTAGCTCTCAGCCTTTTCACCACACTGTTAATTGTCTCAGTAATTTTCATACAGGGAGATGATCCAAGAAATGTTTGCACATTGTTCTAGGAGGGAAGAAACATTTTCATTGGAAATAGAGCCCTGTGGCCTCAGACTGTGTTCAGTAGCTGGTGCTATATCAAATTTTTCCTTCTTGTCATTACCATCCATTCTTACCTGCTACAAGATAACTGCTACCCCCTCCAGCAATATCAGGGACCTATAGGGCAAGTCAGTTCAGCTCTAGGTAATTTCAAGGTAGTTTATGTTGTGATGACTTCCTTGGTGTTGTTCTTTCAAGCATTATATGCCAGCCTTATGCAGAATCCAGTACATGAAGGGGCTACAAGACAGCTGAAGAGGGGCTTTGGACAAGGGCATGGAGTGATAGGACAGGGGGAATGCCTTCAAACTGACAGAAGGCAGGCATAGATTATATATCAGGAAAAAATTCTTCCCCGTGAAGGTGTTGAGGCACTGGAACATCCCTGGAAGTGTTCCAGACCAAGCTGGATGCTGCTTTGAGCAACGTGCTGTAGTGGCCCTGTCCATGGCAAGGGGGTTGGAACTAGATGATCTTTGAGGTGCCTTCCAACCCAAGCCATTCTATAATGGTAAGATACAAACAGGTCTGGTTCTGGCTTTTGGGGGCTGTGCTTGTGCAGTTGTGCTTTCCTTCTCTTATACCCAAACTAGATGTTTTTTCTTCCGTCTAAAATAAAAAACAAAAACAGTAGGCTGAAGCAAAATTAAACAGAAAGAGAGGAATTAATCACTCCCTTATTTAGAACAGGATGAGGATTATAAAAAGCCCCAAAGAACAAAGCAAACAAATGAGCAGCCAAACCCCAAAGCACGGAAGGATGTTTTGGTACTAACCTGCTGGTGCAGCTGCTAACATAAATGTTTTCTGACACAAGTGCATGTCACGAACCAATGTGTAACATTTAACCCATGGAGGCTTGTGTACTCAGAGCAAGGCTGGGGTGGTGATTTCTTTTGGCTGCACTGATTTCAGGTGGATTTTGCAATTCTGCTTTGCTTCACTTCTGAAAAAAATCAGAAATGCCTTCATGAAATCTGGCAGAGAGCTGATGGCATTGGAGTGGCTGGAACTGGAAAAATCTAGAAAAACCTGAGCTTCCTAGTGCTGCAAGGCTTAGTTTGGCAAGTGAAAGGAAATTCATTTGCATTCTCACAGTCCATCCTCTTGATCAGGGAAAAGAATTTCCAGTGGCTCTCTGAAACCACCTCTTACTAAACAAATAATCAGCTCCAAAGTGAAGTTCTTGATTCAAAATAATGTAGTTCACCATTTACTGAGCAAAGTGTTCTTATCTGCCTTTTAAGGGGAAAACTACTTTATGAGAATAGAAATCCTCTTAGGTCATCAACCTGTACCCTGAAGCAGCTTTTCTTGCATTCTCTTTCCTCCTTACTGTTGGGTTTCTTGGGTTATTTTAAATTTACAGTTACTGTCACATTTACAGTGGAGATGTGTGCAGCAGGTTGAATAAGCTGCCTCCCTCAAAATGAGCACATTTACACTGTGCTGTTTGATTTCTTGGTGAAAATCATATCTGTGGAGGGACAGAATGTAAGAAAATGAACATAGTGCAGAAGGCAGTCTCACACCTGAGGAGTTGCAGCTGTACTAATCACCAAAGATTAGGAACAGGCCTGCCCTTAAATAGGCCACAGCTGTGTCCAAGAATACAAGTGCTACAAAAGGGTTAGCTGGTGGAGATGAGAGTTGCAGTTGGTTGTGCTGTGAAGAGATGGAGTTTGTTGGCTGTACTGTGGAGAAGAAGGAGTCAGTGCTGCAAGGAGAGCCCATGAGAAATCACCAAGAAGGTATGGAACCTTTGCAATATGATGACAACACATATCTATGATTTTTTGTCTGTCTGTTGTTTTCTTGGAGAAACTTCTCCTCTGCTGGCAGTGCTGATGGTGAGGACCAGGACTAGTATGGCTAGGTGGGAGTGTCTTGGGAGCCTGTTGTGTCCAAAGTGTCACCTGCTGCACACGTGAGCAGGAGCTTGTGCCAGATCTTCTCAAAGCTATGGTGCTTTCATGTGTATTCATAGATTACTTCCCCTGTTCATGGTAGATGATTTACAGGAGCACAGAGCAGAGGCTGCCCTCCAGTAGGAGATTTAAATGTTGTGTGAAGGACAACATTTTGAAGGGTCATTTAGCCTTTGAATTGTGTTTATCCTTACAGCTTTCAGGCTGAGTATCTTATACATGAGTGGCAGAGCCCCAAAGCCCTGGTTTGGCTTCCCACATCCCCCCATTTAGTTTTTTGCTATTTTTGGCTACTCCCATCTCTATTTCTCCGCAAAACCAGCTCCCACCTACCACTCCCATTAAAAAAATGCAAACAGTAGAAAGCTTAACAAGACCTCTGCTATAGTTTTCCTGTAAGTTACCTGCTTGGAGGTCCCTGTGCCATTACTGCAGTCTTTGTCTTCACGAAGTTTGAACTGTAAATATACTATTTACTGGAACAGCATCTGCAAAACCACTTCCAGCCAGGTGTCAGTAATATGGCTTTGATTCAGATTTTGGGAACAGTATATGACTGATTACAAGGATTTCCATCTACTAGATCTTTATTGAAATGACTGCTAACACAGAAATATTGCAAACCTCTTGAGATGCTTATGTCATTTCCCTGTGTTAAAACAGCTGGTGCTTTTAAGGGTACCTTTGGAATACAGCATTATAAGTCTCCTCTTACAACCAAAATTATGAGGAAATCCAGCTCTGCAAAACAGCACTGGTACTGTGAAACTTGTTTGCTGAGCACCTTCGATCTTGTCAACACACTGTGTGCCCAGACATGAAAAGAGGGACCAGTTTGTCACCATGGCATATGGCAAAGCACATCAAGTTTACCCAAGTTAATGCCATAGCAAAGCCATTCCAACCCCTGAGAGGCCAGAGCAGTGTGGACATGCTGCTGCATGCATTCTGCTGATGGATTCTCATGTGTTATGTCCTGGGAAGCTCTTCCCCCTCTATACCTGCCGTCTCCATGGCTCAAGGACAGCCCAAGACCCTCTGGCTGCTGAGCTGAAAAATCTCTGCCATCAGGTGGTTACTCAGAAAGCATTGCTCAAGTCGGATCATCTCCCCTAAAAACCTTTTTTTAAATCAATAAAGTAAGTTGTTTAAACCAAATCCTGATACTGGTTTGAAACAGCAGCTTCATGTTTCTTTTAGAATGAAGTTAACATTTTTAATAGGGAAAGTATTGTGTAATCAGAGAAACAAAATAGAAATGAGAAGACTTAACACCAACTCCTGGTCACTGCACACTCCCCAGGACTTGCTCCTGGCTTCTGCTGCAGACAATGCATTTCTGGGACCATGATCTGCTCCCTTGTTTCCTTGAGGAGCAATTTGTCTCCCTGCCTACAGCTCCTCCCCCTGCTCCAAGCTCCTTTCAAGCTCCTCCTGCTGAAAGTGCATGGGGACTTGACTGGAGTAGGGCTCCAGCCAGCTGTGTCTCTGGCAGTTTTAAGGCAAGCCATATTCAGAAGCAGGAGGATGCTTGGGACATACTGCTTGTTCCCAGCATGGGTGCAAGATGAAGGAACGTGGACCAACGCAGCAGATACTGTTCTGACAGTCTGTATTCATGATGGCTGCTGTTGTGCTCTCCCATTTCATCTAAAGAATTGTGTGCTCTGTGCGTGCTCCTTGGGAAGCTTCAGTATTGCACTTGCTGGCTTGGCTACCTCCTTTTTTGGCTTTTTCTTGTCAGAAGCTAAGCAGTCATACTGAGAATATGCTCCCAGCACTTTTCTTCCAACATTTGGGTTCCTAGAAATTCAGTCTCTCTCCTGTAAGATGGCTGATTGATTTGACCCCATTAACTTCATTTAATACGTACTCCCACTTCACCCTAGCACAGGTCCTGCCATGTCTGTGTCCTTTGCATTTCCACATTGCTGCCTCGATAACCCTCTGCCTCCCACCTACTGTGCTACGTTCTGACATGCTTGTTCCTCAGACTCCCGGGATTTGTGCAGAAGAACATGAACAATACCGCTGCTTTAATTTTCTTTGTACTCCAATAGAAATGCTTCTCAAAAATTTGTCCAGAAAGTCCCTGCCACTTGTGGCCAGTCAGCCACCCTGCTCTGGTGTTGCACTTAATACGTGACTGTCAGCCTCTCCATGTCACCAAAAGCACTGCCAATGTCCTGATCTCCACGAGTTATCCAGATAAGATAAGGAAAATAGTTGTTTTCAAGGTCTTTAGTCCACATTTCTACTTTCTCATTTGTCACCTTCCCAAGTGACAGGAGAGCTTTCAATTTTCCAGTGAAATCTCTGTTGTAAATGTAAATCCACGAGCACAAAGCAAGGCTGTGCGGGTGTTAGTACCCTGCTAGCATGCTGTGGACATGAGCCAGTATCCTGGGCAGGAACAGGGATGCCCCTTCTCCCCATCAGCTTCATCCTGTCAGACAACGATATCCCATGCCAGGCTCACCATGTGGAGGTGCATCAGCAAGATGTGTCATAGCAGGAGCTGTCTAGGACACTGGCTATCCAAATGGCCTTTCATCAAACCAGCTGCACTCCTTGTGCTCTCTTGACTTGCTGGGAGGCTGACTTTGATGGACGGGAACACTCTGAAATTCCCGCTCCCACCTCAAAAGCGGAATCGAAAGTCCTCCCTGTCTTTCTTTGGTAAAATGAGGCAGGCTGGGCTTTCAGTCATCAAAGTGTTTCTATTTGGAAGGAGGAGGAGCCATCTAGTCATGGGTTCATTGATTCCCTGCCCAGCAAGAATGTTTGCTTGAGCAGAGCCAAGCCGCACCTCTGATGACTAACAGGCAGCGCTCTCTCTTTGATATACTATCGGCCGGGTTTATCACAGTATCAACACAACCTCCCCACTCCAGGCCTCGCCCCTTCTGGCCAGCCCTCCCTGCAGAGCGGCAGGGGCGGCATGGGAGCTGAGCTCACCTCTTATTCCAAGGAATCTTAACAGCAGGTTTTAAGGTACTTATTTACTTTTTTTGGTCTGCACAGGAAGTCTGAGCTAAAAAAAAAAAAAAAAAGGAAAGAGACAGAAGTATAATTGCTCTGGCAGGCCTGCATTCCTACTTCAGTCTCAGACGGGCAGGCACTCTTTCTTGTCGGAGCCTGGAAGAGGATCCGATCCCTGAAGATTATCGCCACGAACGTGCGTAAGTGAAACCTGCAGCCATGCTGAAACAGATATTATCAGACATGTACATCGATCCGGAGCTACTGGCAGAACTCAGCGAGGAGCAGAAGCAGATCCTCTTCTTCAAGATGAGGCAAGAACAGATCAGACGGTGGGAGGAAAGAGAAGCAGCTGCAGAAAAGATTTCAGCAAAGAAGCCACTGCCAAGAAAAGGTAAGTCTCTGCCTCCTGGCTGCTTCACCCTCTGGCATGTATCTGGCCTAGTCAACTGCTTCCTAGAGATAGGAAGTAATGTATTCTTAGATTAATTTCTTCTCCAAGGGACATGGCATAGGCTTATTTTCACACATAAATGAATCCACCTGCAATGGGGTAGTTTTGGCCAGGCACACAGTGGTTTTTACTCCCTGGTTCAGACATTCTGTCCTTGACCAAATTGCTCAACTCCTCTAGCTGGGAAGACAGGGCTTATTTGCCCCCAGGACATGCATCTCATTAAGTTTCCCACTAAATGGTGCCTCAGAATCTGTCTTTACCATAACCATGGATTTGAATACCTCTCCTGAGGCACTAGATCTGATGGGCAGTTCCCACTGAAGTTCCCTTGCCAGGATTACACCAGCATGCTAGCTGCTAGGAAGATAGCTCTCTTCTCCCAGGTCTGCCTCACGTGCTCTATTTGTAAGTAGCTCACCCTCACGCAGTTTGGGGAGGACAGTGGTCAGGAGTTAAGGCAAGAAAAGAAAGAGTGGTGATTCTTCTCCTTTGCTCCTAGTCTCAGAAATGCCTCCTTCACTGACCAGGCTCAAGGAGTATGAAAAAATTGGGAAGTGTGGGCTGCATCCAAGTCTAGTTTCTTCAAGTACAGTTGCTTTTGGGGGGTTTCTGTAATCAACAGCAAATGGTAGGGCACAGCAAGAGCAGCACAGGCCCTGCAGAGAGCTACTCAGCAAACAGCATTTGCCAAAGAGCTGCTTCTTTTCCAGCCAACAGGAAGTCAGTGACATGGAAACTCGGCGCTGACAATGAAGTGTGGGTCTGGGTGATGGGCGAACATCCTTCAGATAAATCCTATGCAGCCATCTGTGAAGAGATCCAGGCACAAAGAGCAAAGCGCTTAGCGAGAGAGCAAGGCCAGGAGGGCAGGTAAGCATCCTTCAGCTGAAGGACTCAGTGGGCAGATATGGAGAAGAAGGCTTTGTCTATGGACACATGAGCTGGGCCTTCTCTGTAGGGGCTGTGGTTAGCACTGTCATGCTAGTCTTGCTGGCAAAAGGCAACAGTTGGTTTTCTGAGTGGACACACAATGCTGGCAGAGACCAGAGACCTGAGAATTGCCCGGCTCACTGAGCCTCCTGTGACAAGGCTGCTGCGTGGGAGCCTCTGCAGAGCACAGGAAATGCTGATGCTGCCCCTGCAGCAGGTGATGGGCTCAGATGGCTCTGATTCACCGGCAGGTGCCCGGGTACAGTCGGACAATGGTTACTCACCACGAGTCATTAATTTAATTACCCACCTACCTGATCTGGAGATATAACTGCCTGTGCACGTGTGGCATGATTGCAGCTCTGCTCTGCTCACGTGCAGCCTCCTCACGAGATTCTCAGACATCAGAAAGTGATTCCCTCCTAAGTCCTCTCTCTCTTGCATTTCAGAGACACTGAATCTTCTGCGACATGGTCTCTACACCCCCAGCCAGGACTTCTGGCTGAGACAGACCTTCATGGGAATACAAAAAACACTGTGGAGAAAAAGGAGGAGCATGGGAGACGAATGACTGATATTGATACAACAGGAAAAAGCCAGGAGCTCACAAAGGTAGTTTTCCATTTTCCCATAACTATAAGAAACATGTTTTTTGAGGTCTAGGAAGTGCAGCAAATCCTGGTTGCTGTAAATACAAATCTGAAGGAAAAAGCCATCTATGTGTTAAAGCTTTTTTTCTACCTAAGAGAAGAAGCCATATTGTTACATCCTTCCTTAAGACTCAGAAGGTCCGTGTGCTGTTCTCAGCTGGGATAGATCTGCTCTGCATCAATGGATAAACTACTCTGAATTGCTTTGCTTCCATTCTCTGTGGGTAAAACAAGGGGTGCAGTACTTTCCCTTCTGCACCATGGCTGGTTTGAATGGCTTTTGGGGCAAGACCAGGATTTTTAAATGAAACATCACAGCCCTCAGCCAGATCACTTACTTTTATAAAAGACCAAATGAAGATAATTTTACCAGCATCATCTGATGTGCATATTTTAGGTGTCTCTTGGGGTTTTTTGTCTTCTAATACAGAAAACAGCTTATGACATTGATAGCACAGGACAGCTCCAAATGCAGTAATACAGTGCCTGCATTCCTGTGGTGTTCCATTACAGAAATATTTTTTCCAGCAATAAATACATTTGTGCGTTTAAGCTGTCTACAAAAAGCCATTTGCAGAGGAAGGAAAAAAGAGTTAAATTAACTACCTGTGCAACTACAGTTGAACAAAAGGAACAGGACATCCTGCCAATTTAATGGGAGAAGTCCTATCTCATTCTGCATTTTCATTCAGCCTTGAATGAACTTGTATGAGTGTATATTCTTTTATCATACTGCCACTCCATACTTGGGTAAAAAAAGTATGATAGCAGAAGGTTAGGTTTTGGCAAAATGCTCTCCTACTGCTACCAGAATAGTGAATGGAATTTGGAGTGACTGTCTCCTTTATCAAAAGCCTCTGAGTTACATGGGGATTTTCTCTGCACTGTTTGCTGAAGTTGAGCAACTATGTGGGAGGTTCTTGTTTTTCAAAGGAACTTATTAGTCAAAACTGACTAAAAAAGTCCAAAACAAAGCAAAAACAACCCCCCAAAAACAAACAAGCCGCCACAAAAATCTATCCTCCTTTCAAAATCTTGCACATGGGAATAGATGGGCATTGTATATTTTCCTTTCTTTTCTGTCCTTATGTTATTAGTAAATCTTCCCAGGTTTCTGGGGCTTTTGCTGTTAGAAGGAGGGCTCCAGACTGAAGTCTCCTGTTGTATTTTCTAGGCCTGAAGAGAGGCTTTTTCCCACCTCCTGCATAAAATGTCTTCTCTGAGATCTAGTTTGTGGTATTTACACTAGTTCTCACTTAATCTGAGAGATCCTGGTATCATGCTGCAGGGAATAGGGCTGATCTACAAAAAAAATGCTGCTCCACAGACATTTGAAGTTCCTAGTTTCCTAAAGAGGAGAGGGAAATTGTAAAGCCATGTTCATATTAAATATTAGCCAAGTAGGTGATGGAGCTAAAAGGAAGTGTGACCTTGGTAAGCAGACTAGTACAGTTAACTCATCACTTGTACTGTGGGAGGCAGTCGGGGGCTGATGGGGAAGTGGGTGGGTGTTTACTGAAAGCCATACCTAACAGTTTGTCTGCAGAGGCAGCTCTCAGCTAGGGACTGCTGGCAGGGCAGCTGGGCTGGTTCTCAGGGAGGAGAGAACACAAAATATCCAGCCAGTTGGATCAGTTTGTCAAGTAGGAGTTTGCAGCAAATCCAGCCACAGCTGCAAACATGCACAGGCAGGTAAAGCTGTAGACGGCTGGTTCTGCAAGGGATTGCTTTAGAGGAAGGGAAGAAAGGGACTACTCCCTGGGAGCACTTGTGAGCATTGCTTAGCAAATCTAGGCATGCTTATGGCTACCCCGACACCCATGAGCTCTCCTCTGTGGCATGTTTGGCCAAATATGATGGGAAAACCCCCACAATGTTTGTCAGAGCAAGCTGGAAAAACTTGTTAACAAATGTCACATAACTGCTTTTGCATTAAGCACCATTTGCACAAAAAATAAAGAGCAATTGTCCTAATGTCACATTTATTTCTCACCACTCTTTTGCTCTGCTCAGAGAGGAACCAGAAATGTTCATCAGATGCTGGCGGATTGCCATGCAAGGAAGCAGAGTTTCCAACAGGTAAGTGGCAACCTATGGTGCTCCTAACACATTGAGTGGTGTCAGTGCTTTATCCTAGAGTCTCAGTCAGCTTCAGAGCCTCATATGAGCCAAGAATGTTCTCGCCTTTTGGACCAGTTTTATCCAGTATTGCTATGTTCCTCATGCATGGTGTGATGATTTGAAGATGATACAAAGCAGGCCAGGCTGGCAGATTGGGGAGTAGCACAAGGAGATGCTCCTTGATGATTTTTGGTGGGATGTTTTCCCTTCCTGCCTCAGTTGTTACCTTTACTAAAGACAGAGGGTCTCTACATTGTTGAAACTGGAGGGATTCACTGTGAAGGACAGAGCTCCCAGTATTTCAAGGCTAGCTAAAAAGTAGGGCTAAAGCTTGCCTGAGACAAAGCTGAACGTACTGTTTCTTTCATAGATGAAGGAAACACAGAGGAAAAATTCAGAAGAGACCACAGCCCCCCAGAAGCCAATACCACAGAGCCACTCCAGCACAGAGAGCCAGAGAACACTGCAGAAAGCGGATGAGAATGAGCCTGAATGGCAGGAATTCTGTAAGATCTTAAAATTACCTTTTCCTATAAGGCTTGAGAAATCCTGGGTCTCTGTGGGGTCATGTCAACCCTTCCCCTGCCATACTAGAACTGAATAATAGGTCAGAGGGTGGAGAGTATTGCCAAGAAGTACAGCACTGTATTATCAGAATATTTCTGAGTCCACACAGCATTGAGACTAGAGCTGGGCAGGGAAATGGAAAACTTTTCCAACTGACACTGTGTAAAAACAAGCAACAAATAGGAACCACATGAGTATAGCCAGTACAATTAATTTTAGACTAGAAACTGGCCTTTTGTAAGACTTTGCAGTAACTGCTCTTGAGGACAAGGGTAGTCCTCAAGAGTAACAGGGACTAACAAAAAGGGCTTCCCTGTCATTTAAGCATGATCCCACCCAAGTAAAGCCCTTCTGCACTGTCTCATGTAATGAATCCTAATAATAGAAAGGAAAATGGCAAGTAGCATGAGACTTGCAGTAGTAGCCATCACTGCTGCCAAATGCTTCCTGAAGGAGAACCTGATGCACTTTTCTTCCCAGTTCCTCCCCTGCTGCTCAGTAGATGGCAATGCTGTACCACCGGTAGTTTCCACTTCAGTCTAGGGGTTTTATTTTTCTGGCTTGATAAAAAAACTGGTGACTGTAGAGCTGGTTACTCATACAGACTCCAGGGAGAGATGGACCTAGACAATAGAGGCAGTTTTACAGGAAAAAAACCCAAACAAAACCAGTCATGTTCTCCACTTTCCATAATAGTTTCAGCAAGGCTCCTTACTACCCTCCAAAATTGATTAGCACTTTCAAATCCTTCAAATGATTGATTTGGGGTCATTTCAGCAGCTTCAACTCCAGGAGCTTCAAGCTCTGCCCCCCTTTTGTTTACATGAAAGGCGCTACAGAAATCCATGTCTGAACCAGGAGTCAGTATCCGAAACAAAACCAAGAAGTCTCTGAGTACAAAAGGACCTGGTACCGAGAAAAAACACACAGATTTTGAATCTTGTCCTACAAAAAAATTGGGTTTTAATCTTTTAAAGGAATAAAAACTATGCCACTTAACACATGGGAGAGATGTGGCAAATGGTCTCACAACTGAGTGACTCTTTCAGCTTGTGGAATGGATTATTCTTGCATTTCAACAAGCAGGAAGATGGCCAAAGGGGGTAGCAAGCTTTAAACTTGCTGCTTGTTCACTCCTGTAGGACTCCTTTTTTGTTCCAGTGCAGAAATCCAAGGCAGCAGACGAGAAGAGACGCTCCCTTGCACGGCAAGCCCGAGATGACTACAGGAGGCTTTCACTGCAGGGCATCCACAGAGGGAAGCAGGCAGATATTTCCAAGGGTGCCACAGCAGGAGATCGGCGACCACTTCAATACCCACCTCTCCCTCCGAAGCCTAAACTTCTACCTCCTGCAACAGCAAATGGGAGAGCAATTAGGTAAGGAAGCCCCTGTGCACTGTGGAAAGGAGAAGGAATGAGATTCTTTTGCTCTAGCAAGAGATGGTTGAGATGATTGTCTCTCTTCCTTCTGTGGAAGAGACACCCAGCAGGGCAAAATAGAGCCTAGGCTATATTCCAGCCTGGGGTGTGATGAGGCCTTCAGGTGTTCATTCCTGGAGGGTAACAGGTTTAGTTAGTAGAGTGTCTTAAGTCTAGAACACAGAGAGCCCCTATGATGCCAGATGCCCGCTGAAAACCATATTCCATACAGCTGAACTGGTGTAAGCTGCCTGTTTAGGGCTGGTCTTAAAATCCTAAGCAAAACGTAAGTCCCATGCAGAGACTCAAAGCCTGTCTTTTTTGAATCTGATGCACAAACCAGAGGTCTTTTTTAACAGGAAAGAGGGAGTCCAGAGGACAATCTCCAATTCCACAGAAGAAAGCATCATCAAGTGGTTCAAAGAGGAGCAATTCCCCCTCCGAGCTGGCTATCTGAAAACCACAGACACAATAGCACCTTGGTTCCATGGTGAGTCCTGGGAATTTCTACCCCAACTCAAGTGTTTAAGAAGTTTTTCTGCTAACATGGCTGCTTATATGGGCTGGGCTTGGGAATAAAGCTCCTACACTGGCATCAACATTCAACAACTGCAATACCATTCTCTCTCATAACACAGCAACAGTCCTTTCGAGCTGTCCACATTTGCTGTTCATTGTTGGTCAAGTGTGGCACAGTTAACAAAGAGCTGTTGGCCATGGCCTGTTACTAGCAATGGCAGCACTCTTCTTCTTGGGCTTCTGGGCAAGAAAACAGTGAAAGGGATGGAAGTGCCATGGACTGGTTTTAGAGCAGATTTCTTGTGAGAACTGTTCTGTCCAATCCTGCACAAATGCTTTTCTCCCTTCAGTTTTGTGTTTCGGTTTTGAACAGGTATCCTAACCTCTAAGAAAGCAGAAGACCTTCTGAAAAAAACACTACCAGGGAGTTTTCTGATCCGGGTCAGTGAGAAAATCAAAGGCTACGTGCTGTCCTATTGGTCTGTGGAAGGATGTAAACATTTCCTCATTGATGCCTCCAGTGATTCCTACAGCTTTCTTGGAGTGGACCAGCTGCAACATTCAACGCTGGCTGACCTTGTCGACTACCACAAGGTGAACTTCCGGCAATGCATTCACTAATAGCTTAATTGCCTCAGGGCACTTCAAAATAAGACAGACTAGATTCAGTTGTTTTGAAGTTGGTAACTAGACCCATTTTAACTGCTGCTGGCTACCTTGTGTGATGCTCCAAAATTGTATTCAGCCTGACTGGTACAGCCCAGGTGACCTAATACATCTCAGGTATCTTAGATTTGATTCACTCACCCTCAAGCACACAGAACACCTTGCATGCTGGGCCCAAGTTACTTACTCTGTAGAAATGTTGATGAGAGGTAACAGCATACTCGTACAAACTCCTTTCTTCTGTATTCTCTCCATGGTTAAGAGGCAGTGGCAAGTTGGGTAAACACAAAATCCTGCTTACCTTCAGCTTCAGCATGAAAGAGAGTAACATATCTTTACTATCTCAAAGCAGACAAGGGGTGGTACTGAGCAAAGGTAAAATATAGAAGGGAAGGAGGAAGGTTGGCAGGCTCTTGCAACAATAACAGTTGTGTTTACCAGCACTGACTGCAGTTGCATGGATTTCTGGGAGAGCCAGGTGGATTGTTCATTTGTTTACTGTAAGATCTGCCCAGGGACAAGTCAATAATTTTTCTCATAGTTTCATTTAAAGTCCCTGTTTCTTTTAAATAAGTGCCTAGCTTAATGCAGGCATGGTAAACAAAACTGGACATGAGAACAATAGCTATACTCATTTGCTCTACGGAACTTTACCTGGACTGCCTGAGCTTGCTTCTTGCATGATTTTCACAGTTCAGGCTGAAAGTATTAAAAGCAGGAGTTATACAGCTACTTGTACCAGAGCTAAAGGATTTAAAGCTTTGCTGTGCATAGCTACATCGAGTATAGAGCCAAGGCACAGTCTGAATCCTGCAGCTCCCCTGCACTACAGCACATGTGGGCAGATGAACCCACTCTGCCAAAGTGCCCCACTGGGTTCTGCTTATCACCTACCAGGTGAGCATGAAAGAAGGCAAGTTCCCACCATGCATCTGCTGCTAGGATGGAGAATGAGATTGGAAGCACAGACTGTGCTTAGAACAGGACTTGCCTAAGCAGAGGGTGTGTGTTCTCTCCAGAACCCACCCTTGTCCCTCCTACAAACACAGTCAGAAGCACGGTTCACAATCCCCGGTCCTGCTCTGCCTGCATGCTGCGTATTCCGGGCTCCAGCACTTTCTAGGCAGGGCACCTCTCCATGTCAGAGAAGCTGTAGTTTTCTCAGGGATGAGCACAGCTCTTTCCTAGAACTGCCTGAGTTGTCACTGAGTTATGGCACAGAGCACATTGTGTTATGAAGACAGAGGGCCCTTCCCTGAGTTCTCCAGGAAACTGAGCTGTATCACACAGTGGTGGGAACACATCCACAACATAACAGAGGCAGGAAGACTGCTGTCCACTTTGTGAAGTTGTGACAGGCAGGATCTGTTTGAAAACTGGTGTTTGATCATATGCTATATTAACAGGACGAACCCATCACTTCCTTGGGGAAGGAGCTGTTGCTTTATCCATGTGGCCAAGAGGACCAAGAGCCAGATTACATCTCTCTCTTTGAGTAAACCTGTCCATCTTGTTGGGCAGCCCCGGACTTGTATTCACAAAGAACTTGGAACTGGACTTGGAACTAGAGCTCCTGATACCTGAAACCATCAGTGCCTCTGTTTTGTATCCTTCACAACAGAGCAGTAGGAGGATAAGTACTGTGAGCTACAGGATGCATCAGCCCAGGAAGCTGCAAACCTGGACACATCCCACAAGATGGAGAGAATGAGTTGATGAAGTAATCAGTTGATCAGGAGATACTGCCATGGTTTTTCATTGGGTTTTTGAAGGTTTCTTGGGGGACTTCTGTATTCAAGCTGCCTTTTGTTCTTGAATGCAAGGTTCTCTGGGAAATAGATTAGTACCTACAGTTGAATGAGATTATAACCTTCCCAAAAGCACAAAGCAACTTGGAGAGGTGAATCGATCTTGATATGTAATTTGCAAAATGTGAAGCTTAATTCTATAAAATGCTGTGTCCTTGGAAGGAAGGATGTTCAGCCAAACATGCAAGCAAACCCTGAGTGCCTTTCAGTGAAAGGTGCTCTCTGTGACAAGAGATTGGCACACATGAAGACTGCATTTTTTTAAACTCCCCTAGCCTCTGAATGTAGATCTTCACTCTTTTAACCTGTATTTAACTCCCACACAGGCCTTTCTGCATTGAGAGGGTTTATCCTTTTTGAAAAGGAAAAGAGATGGGACAGAGTAATTTTTGTGAAGTGACAACCACATGTACAGAGCCTAAAAATGTAAGAAGGAACACCTATATCAGTATTAATACAGTTTACAGAAGAGTTTTTGCCAGTAAAGAATGCTGTTTTCCAAAATGGAGCTATTTATTGCAAGTTGTGTCCCAATTACTGAGATGCATCTAGTGTAAACTTCATTATAGAACTTGTTCTTTCAACATAATGTTCTTTTTTCTTATCTGTTACAATGCTCTTTAAATACATCATTCAGAAGATTGGGGGAGAGCTTGGAAAGAATCACATAAGAAATTAGTCTTCATCCAGGTTCCCCAATGTTGTTGCACATGACAAACTCTGCAGCTGAGGGTCTGAATCTGCAAACGTCATTTTTTAGAGGCACAATCCTCAAATAGTGAATAAGAGTTGGTCTTGTTTCAGTTGTTTACCTCTTTTTACCTGTTCTCTTTTTTCTTTTAGATCGGGGCTACTCAACTTGAAGAAGCAGTCAAAACTTTCAGTCTTATATTAATCTGGGTTTTGCAGAATACAGATTTAAAGAAACTGTGATCATCTGGTCTTAAAATTTACAGCTATGCTGACAGGTGGTTTCCATTAAAGGAATGAGGGGATAACTACACTCCAGTTTCAGCAAGTGTCACTTGCTAGAAATAAAGCCTTAATGTAAACTGAGATTCTGAATGTAAAGACACTCTGCCACTGCAAATGACTTAATGAGCTTCTTGAGCAATATATCACATTTATCAAAGAGATAATTTCAATATAATCTGTATCAATCATGAGAAAGGGTGTTAGATTATTTGTAGGGGGGGAAACATCCCTCCTTCCCTCTTTATGAACTGTTTCTTTTAAAACTTTTGTCAAAATGAAAGGTCCTTCAGAAAAACATCTGTTTTCATGTGAAGAACATGTCATAGCTGATATCTTGCTGAGACAAATTGTGAAGTGTTTTGCAGATCATTGGGCTGGTAAAGGGGGAGGAAAAGTATGTTCTAAAAAGGCATTTTGAGACTCAGGGTGTTAACTTGCAAAATAGGATGCAGGCCAATCTGTCATGGACATAGCAGGGCATAATCAATTTTAGCTCTAAGATCTTTAGTAAAACTCCTCAGGGTTTGACCTGCTGACAAGTGGACCAGTAGATTCACTACCTTTATATTAAACTCCTTATTTGCAAATATTGTCTCAGTACAGCCCAGGGAAAACCACTATCCATGTTCACATCATCCCACATGTTTGAGTCATGCTTTGGTTTTTCAAAGACCCACTTTTCTGCTGTGAGGCAAGAAACATGAACGTTTAGATGACTAGACTGACTGCAAAGGCAACTCCCTTGCTAGAACAGATCCCCTTAAGACTGACTCTTCTATTGCTCCAAATCCAGTTACCCTGAAAGTCTGTGGAGCAAGGATGTCTTGCAGCAGTTGAGAATCTAGGGTGATGACATACCTTTGGGAGTTTTCTCTGTAAAATCTTTCCTTCTTCAAGGGATGCTGTGTAAGGATTACAAGAGGAGTTAATTTGCAAATTGCTTGCTGGAGAGATCATGAATCCTGGAGGAGCATGGGAATTTGTTTTTGCTCTATGCCTTTAGCCAGAGTATGCTGCAGTCATCACAAAGTAAAGCAAGGAGTCCCTGGATGGCCTCCCCACCTGCACAGGGACATCTCTAGACCCTCCTCAACCAAGATAAAATCAGTTGTCATTCTGAGAAAGATCACAAGCTGGTTTGGGGACAAGAAAGGTAGACACCTTCATAACAAAATCTATTGTTCTGTTGACTGTTCTCTTTGGATTTCACCTTTCTCTAACTGGGCTAGAAGATGTGTTAGAGCTCCACTTGGCTGACAGAAACGTGAGTAACAGCAGCTTCCCTTTCTCGTGCTGTTCCTCACCTCTCCTGTCAGTGCAGTCTCCACCTCTAAGAGAGCCCTGACAGATCTCTGCTGTGATTAGATTGCCCTGCACATCACCAATGACTGTGGGCTGGATCTCTTGATCACTGACACCATCTCAGCTCTTGCCAGACTGGCTTCTGCAACCAAGGAAAGAAACTACATAGACAGTATTGTTCCTGGCAAGAGGAACAGCATCTCTGTGGAAAAGGACATACATGAAAATCACAAAAGTGCTATTTAAAAACATAAGTTGTGAAACTCTGACAGGATCTGGATGATGTGCTTGCAAAGTAATGAAGTGCTGAATTTACAACTGCCCAGTGCTTAGAACTGGAGACTAATAGAGGCTTGAAGGGACCTCTGGAGATATGTGGTCTAGTTCTGCTCTACAAGCGTGGCTCAGGGAAGACTGAATAAAACAATCGTGGAAATAGTTAAGGTGAGGCTTGGCACAGGTCATGATTACAAAACTTTAATAGTGTACAACACCCAGTTTCAAATTCAGGTTTAAGTGGGACTGTAGGAACAACTTTTGCTTTGGACCAGCTGCATAACCACACTTTGATATGCACTCAACAAGTCATACCTGTCTCCTCCTATTGCATAATGTTTGTAAAGTTACTTCATCAACACAAAGCCCTTTATAAATAATTTATCACGTGTTCTGGGAACAAAGCAGTCCTTTGGAGGATCTACTTGAGTGATTACTGAAGTTTCTATGGTAAGTGATGTATTTTGGGGTTGAGGTTTTGAAGAATAAGAAGTTTCTATTCTTTTTTATTTTTGCAGTGTTTTGGATACTTGGTGATTTACAAGGTGAGTGCAATGCAGATCCTTTGCACCAGTAAAAGTCAAACACATATAAACCTGTCCAAGGAAAAGATACTTATAGCAGCATGGTCTCTGTCTGCAGAACCTGCGTGCAGTGCTTTCAAAAGAGCACTCTTCCTACTGCACAGCTGCACAACAAAGAGTAGCTCATTCATTGTTCAGTGCTACCTTTCTTTCCCCCAGCTTTTACAAGCCAAAAACCAAATTAGAATCTGGTTCAGACTGCCTTGAATTAATCTGAATCCAAAAAACAGAGGCTGCTCAGAGAAATAGCATTTAGGTAAGCAAATGGGATTTACAAGCCTGTGCAGTTTTTGTTGGCTAGTATATATTAAAACTGTAAATAGCAGTCAGCATTAAAATAAAATGCTTTATAAGAGCAGTAACTCAAACTTTCAACAGTTTTAGGCAATTGCAACAAAAACTATCAAGAAAATTACTAATTTTTACAATTAGTACCTATAATTATCATAAGAGAATTTGCAGGGTCCACTAGTCCATCACAAAAATTTATTTTGTTAATTACAGAAAGCTTTTTATACCCTGGGCAAGACTCTGTATTTGGTTTAGAAGAAATACTTTGGCATAAAATCAGAAAATGTTCATCACTGTTGGTATCTGGCATTTGGAGTTTAAAGCCTCCTGCTAAATCAGTACTGCAAGTTGATATGTATTTTGTTTTCTTCAGCATGATAAAGCTTCTGCCTTCCAGTGCCCAGGTTGTGTAGAAAAATCACTTATCTATTCCAGTTCCCATCCACAGGAACACAGATCTGCAGAGCGTTTTCCAAGCATTGGAAGGTTTACTATTTCCTACTAAGGCTAGAAGTAGAAAACCTGAAGTATGGCAAAATAATTCTCAAGCCAAATGAATTTCATTTAAAAATAAATCTTGAAATACATACAGCATTCTAAAGCAGAAATACACTATGTGATTCACATGATACAGATGTGGCTCATTGCTTTTGGCTCACTGTTCACAGAGGAGAACAAACAGTACCCTCCAGTTGATGGTTTTTCAACCATCACACTTGACCAGTAAGATTTTCTCTTTAAGTTTAGAAAGCACTTTCTGAGAAAGCTCTTTCTCTGGATTAACTGGGAATGGCCTGTTAATGCACTGCTGCTGTGCCCCCATCCCAGCCCCTTAAAGAAAAAGTATTTTTGGTTACTCCAGCTTTACCATGGTTAACAATCAGATGTCCTCAGAGCAGAAGTCCCTGGACTTGTTAAACAATAGCCCTTTTTAGATATGTCAAGTTAGGTGTAGGAAATAACTCCTAATTATTGGCCCACCAAAAGATCAAATCCTTTCAATAACTGTACACATCTTACACATCCATTTGTTAGTGTGAATACCACACTGGTCACATAATAACATATAATGTTCATTGTCTCTATGATGTGACCTTGAATTTCATCAAGTGTTCAAGTCTTCCCCAGAAGCAAGTGCTGAACAGTCAGGATAGTGGAGTACTTAAAAACCTCTCTAGAACAAAAACAAAAGTAGGGAGGACAGACGCTTTCCCTCTGCTTTTGCTGCCATCCTGCTGGAATCTCCATCCTCTTTCAGTCTCATCCCAACTTTTCTGGTTAAAACCTCTTTTCCAAAACACCCCTAAGTCCAGTTCAGAGGCTTTCAACCTCCCTTTCTAGATTCACATCTTCTTACTGCTCAATTTCTGTTTTTGTAGGTGTGTCTCAATCTCTTGCTTGAAAACAAGCATCCCAAGCTGGCCATGGGAAGCCTCATTCATGGCCTTGGACTGCATGCACATTTTGTACTGCTCTGGAGTCAGCTCGTCCAGACACTGCTTTTCATGCCACAGATGGAAGAGACCCCTGACAGGCGTTCGGATCACCATCAGGTTGCTGTGAAGGTACTTGCGGTACAGATGCACATCTTCACCACCCCAGCCTTTAATGTCCAGGTCAAAGCCACCTGACACAGACAAAATTCAAAATACAACTAGAAATCTGTTAGCAAGCTCAATGCTATTAATTGTACTGCAGCTGTTTTCTGATTCCAGTCAGCCCTTTAAAACACACACACTTTCTGTGAACATTTAACTGCCCGTCTTCAAATATTTCACCATCAGAGAAAAGTTCTTTATTTGTAATTTTATTTGTAAACAGTGTTTAGATTCTGGTAATTCTGTTACACGTAGGAAAAGCCTGAACATCTAACCCCAGCACTGCTGCAAATTAGCGAGACAGACACATTGGCAAAGGAAAGGGAGGCTGATCATATTTTCTATGTTTTAGCAAAAAGGCAGGTGTATTGGAATGTATTTTTCTTACCTATGTTGATAAAATCAGATCTGTACTGGCAAGTCATCCCAAAACCAAAGTCTCTCCAAAATCCAGTTTCTTTTTTAATAATCTGCATGGAGGGAAATGAATATTTATATGGAAGCAAAATTGCTTTCAGAGTGAGCATTCTGACCTGAATGTGGTCAGAAATAGGAGCAACTGCCCTTTTATTCTTCCCCATGTGAATCCACAGCTGGTCCTGAACCTGTTTTTGTAGATATTCGTTGGATATATCTATATATCTGCCACCCCAAAACAGCTGTGTTCTTAGCTATCATGGATAACCCCCCTGATCCAGAACAATCAGGTTTTGCTCCACTCCTGCTGTTGTAGACCAAGTAGAACAATATCACACCTCTGGAGATAATTTCTTTGCAGGCAAAGCATCCTCCAATTGTTAGTTTCTGTGGGATTCACACCTGATGTAAGAAACATATTGGTAAACCAGGGAAGCCAGACTTTGCTGTCAGAACAGATAGTGGCATCTGCATTGTGGACCACAAGAGCTCTAGAAGAAAACACTGGTTCTAATCTGATCACACAATCTACAGGGTTTTGATTACATCGATTTTGAGTAACAAGAATAATTTTCCATTACAGAAAATGCTATATTCACCTAAAATTGAACTCCAGAAATGCTTGGTGATAGATATAAATCCCATGAAAGCCTTTGTAAAGATGAATGGTGTGCCTTCCTGAGATGGACAATCAAAATATTATGTATTACAGGTAGAAAATCAGAGCACTGAGGAACAATGGTTATAATTTTGAAAGGCAGATATCCAAGTACAGATCTCTAAGGTCATAATTCATGCATGTGAGTGACCTAACCCAATCTGGTGAGACATCCAAGAGCTTCAAGGGATAGGCATTTAAATCCTCTGAGCAAGTATCAGCAGTACTTCACACTCTTGAATGCAGTTTCTTTAGAAAATCTTAACTTAGTTGTGACAGAATTTCAGAAGATGAGGAAAGAGAACTTCCATTTCTGGTTTTACAAATCCTAGTATTTTCTTTATGAAGAAATGCTCTTCCAAAATTTTCTCTCCTGATTTATTGTTCATGCCTCCCCTTTTTGTTCATAACTCTTGTCACTTCAAATGCTTTTTAAAAAAAATTATTTTACTGCTTACATTGCAATACATTTCATTTCTCATTTCTCCTTTCCTTGAAAAAGCCAAGTCACTGCAGAAGCTAATTAAAAGGAAATAAGATTGAATCTGTCAGGCCTGCACTGTGACAAGAAGTCTCCATCACGATGCCCTTACAGCAAGCTACTCATGTGCATTAGCATTATTATTTCCCATTAGGGCAAGTGGCTGCTTGAATCAAATCAAATTCTATCCAAGATTTCTCAAGGAGTTTTGTTTTTCTCCTCAGCAGCCCAAGTTCCCGGACAGAGAGCTAACACTGTCTTGTTTTATTGGCATAGATCTGGCCTTATGCCTGGCAACTAATGTGGGCTAAAAATACAAAAATATACATAAAAATGTGATTGGCTGTACTTCTTTAAATCAAGAAGCTTTTTTGACATAAGCATCACATTTTATGATTAAATATTAGCCATAAATATTTTCACAATCCTGACAATGTACTTTGTGGAATTTATGCTAGCTTGAAAGCTAAACTCTATTTCATTCCCTAAGCACAATTTTTACAAGCGTGAGGATCCCTGACAGGCTCTGAGCAGAGAAAGAAAGGCTTATGTGAATCCCATGGTATGATCAGAACAAGTTTCTTCTGAGAAAAAAACAGTACAAGGAATTTTCCAGTCACTTCAGTTAAAGGCTTTCTGGCTATATGTCTCATAACACAGACAGTAGTTTAAAAAAATTACTTTAAAATGTTTTGGATTGACTTTTCAAACTCTCATTCTTCATTTTTATGGAGGAACTGTACAAGGTGGGGGTAGTGATGACAGAAGACTGGACTCAGAGACCACGTGATCTTTTTCAACTGTGACTGTCTCTGGGCTCACACCACCCCTAATTCATACTTATCCAGAACAACAATAGAAGCTGGGGTGCTCTGGGGACAGTGTCCAGCCAGGGACAGGATGAGCCCTAGTGAGTGCAGTGCCTGGCAGTAAGAGAGGCAGATGTGGCAGGTTAGGACCTGGCCCAGAGGAGCTGAATGAAGCTGCAGAGTTGGCTTATGTTTCAATTTGAAAATTCAGCCACTTAGCAGCACTAGTGGGTAGAAAACTGTGGCCCACTGACTCTGGAGAGAAGCAAGACTCCCTTCTATCAGGTCTTTAGGCTCAACAACAGTGCAACACCAGAGCACAAGAGAATGGAGAACAGTGCCTGCAGCAGTGCCAAGCAATGGCTTGGTCACTAACATTGATGTGAACCTTTCATCTGTGTGCTCTTTCTTCCTCACAACAGCTCCCTTCTCATTCAGGAGACTCATACGTGTCTTAATCATATGCCTTATGGCAATGTTTTTTAAAAATACTGCTTTTTTCTCTTGTCAAAATTATGCAGGTGAGATGAAAATCAGTGGAGCTGTGTTGTGTTGTATCAGTGCCAGAATAAAGTGACAGTTCCAAGCATGCGATTTGACTCAGACATTTCAGAAACACACTGTCTGCTCACAGGCAGTTCAGTCATGAACTGTGGGAAGGGAAAGGCCGCTGTAAGGTGTTCAAGTAAGTGGGGAATAACTGTGACAGCTCCTGGAGTTCTCTTTTTACTGACTGATCTGAGGACAGCTCTGCCTTTTACAAATGTCATGTCTTCAAATGCAAATAGTATTCAGTGACAGGAAGAAATCAGAGCAAGTCAATGACTGTCACCCCAAAATAGCACACCATGGAGGAATTGTTCACTAGTTAGGAAATTCCTTCTAACAGGGAAGCAGACATTTAAAAAATTCTTTGTTTCCATGTAAAAACTTCAAAAAGGTTTAAAATAAATGGCACCAATGTACTTCCCAGTGAAAAACACTGCAGAACTCACAGTAAGGTGAGTGATGGAGTTAATTTTGTCTGTGTGGCTGTCACTGTGCACAAGGAATAGGGAAATGCTATCCAAGAGCACACGTACCTTTAAAAAATGCTTTGTTCAAATAGAAGCAGGCATTCAGAGAAGCATGTACTTACCAGCTGCTGTTCTAAAGATGGTATGGAATCATGGTGACCATAAATTATACTGGGGTTATACTGGCTGAAGAGAACAGGATAAAATACCTTCTTCCCTGGAAATGACAATGGGTTGTTTTTTTTAAAAGCTGTATAAAACACACTTGTCTCTTACAAGGTACAGTCCAGACCTGACCAAATCCAGACAAAGTCACATAAGTTTTGCACTAAGCCTATGTTCTTTCCATGAGAATGTGAGAATATAATTAATAAAAAGATCCTGTTCCAGAAAAACAGGTGCTGAAGGCAAGAGATTCTATCACACTGGGAGCAAGAACTGTTACAACTGATTTACAGTAGCTTCATTACCAATTCAAAGACAAGAATACTCTGGTGAAGGATTTTACATAATAGAACCTGTTGAAAGATAATGCACTTCATGAGGAGCAGTACCTGGCTGTGTGTTCAGTCTACAGGAGTTCAAGAATTCGGCTGTGAAGTATATGTCCACATCGCAAAAAAAGAGAACAACATTGTTTCCTTTCCAAAATCGAGCACCAACATCTAACCCTTTGCCCCTGGAAAACTCTTCATTCAGCTGGATGAAGGTGAAGTTCTTGAAGTTGGCTGACCTAGAAAGGAAAATATTCAGCAACTTACCCTGTCCATCCAGCTCTTAATACAAGCTGGGGGTGGGAACCCCATATGAAAGAATTAACAGATTAATAGAAATCTGTAGTATCACAGTTCTGAGAGCAACTGGAGGGAAGAGATGTCCTGTTTGACTCTTGAGGAGATTTCCTACCTATGTTCAGAGCTTGACCTGTGTCAAGCACACACTAGCATTCCTGTCCCAGACTTTCTTTGGACAGGTCTCACAAAAATCCCAACAAGGTTTAGATTCGCAAAAATATCTTCTGTATGCCAATTTCAATTACCTGTGGTTACATTACTGTATCTATACAAGGGTCTTCTTCCTACACAGAGAAGACAAGCCAAAGGTTGCAGTGCCACATGATCTTGACAAATACAGCTATGTAATCAAACAACAGAGCAGAACTGGCCAAAAGTATCCAGTTCCTTTGTGCTCTACTGAAATTTTCTTCCACCTTCCTTTGGAAGTCAGCTTTTAGTCCTAACAGTCCAAGCCACTTTCAAAGAACTAAAGAATTACCAGTGTGTGTGGGGGAGGGGAAAAAAAAAAAGCAGTTGCACTGAGGTAAATTGAGTTAAAATCTGTTCTGCAGAGACCACTCTGTGGGACTCTGGGTAACACCATTTTTATTTGATACAAAAAGAAAGCTATTTTCTGCAATGCACTTTAGAACCCTTTGGCACAACTATGAGTTTTGAGTTATCAAATCTCCACTTCACGTAGGATCACTGTATATGAACAGGTACTTACTTAGAGGTATTTTCAAGTATTGATTTGACTTCATTCATTTGTTCCTTTCCAAAGTAAACTACAGTGAGGTGAATTCTTCCATCCTGCTGAATGCCCATTTCCCTGGAGAAAAGAGACAGATTTGTGACTTGTTCCAGAAGTTACCTTCCTTCAATAACCTACAGCAGCTGGAGAAGGCAGAGTAGGGTGAACCTCAGAGGCATTCCTGGGGATGTGATTCACTGACAGGCATTCTTGTCCTCAGAAAGCTGCTCACTTTCTCCCTTAGAAGAGACAGAAGTCTTTCAGGCAGATTAGGTACCAGCTCTCTAGACAGCATTTGTTATATTAATAGGATACTGTTAAAAGAGGCCATCCAGCCCCAAGAAGAATGATCAGGCAGGCAATAACTTCAGCACTCAGGAGAACGTGAGAAAGGGGATTTTTATAATATCCTACCTCATAACCTTGAGTTTTTGCAACACATATTCCAGAGTTCAGATCTTTGGCAGTTACTAAAACCTAAGTATTAGCAGAGATCAAACGTGTAGCTCAAGGGTAAGACCACTCTGAGCAAATGCTAGAACTGTGCCTCACTTGCACTAAGTTTAGTTTGTAAGAGTTCATCTATAATCAGCAGAGAGATCAGCATGACTAGAGGGCGATTTCTCCCAGTCTAAAACAAGATAATCAGAATACTAATCAGAAGGCTAATTTAGGCAAGGAGCCTATTTTTAGATGGCTGTAATTAGACAAAACATCCCATTGTAAGAGTGAGCATCTTTTGATAACACAGTCTTTTCTGGGCAGCTATTTAAAGTTACATCTCAGTTCAGTTCTTCCTCTGAACATCTCATCTGTGCTGAAAAAATAATAGTTTAAGAGTTACTATGCTGAAAGCTTAAATACATTTCCTTCTTGCCTTTTGTTGCCTTAATATTTTATCTAATGGAGCCTAGCAAATTGTCTGGGAGCACTGATTCCCCTTTTCCTTTTTTCCCCTTTGCAACTAGTGCATGGCATTCTCATGTTGTCACAATTGTATGTGCCCAACAAATGGATTGAGACTATTGAGTCAGGTACATGCAAATCAGAAACCCTGCTGACTGGAATATAAGTGCCTTTATCGCTAATCACTATGCATTAAGCAACCAAATGCCTTTCAGTCTGTAATCTCAAAAATCACTCTGTGGCACAATGAACTGTTCTGTAAAAGTAACAGTGAGTGAGGTTTTGATAACTATTGTAAATTAAAGGTGACTCCAATGAAGGGGAGAGAGAATGATGCATCTGACTCATCATCAGAAGGCTAATTAATTACTTTATTATACTATACTATATACATTTCATCTAAACTGAATCTGCCATGCACTCACTCTTGCTCACAACTGCACAGAACTGCATTCATCTCTGATTCTCTCGTGACTGTGCCATGACAGTCCGACACACACACACCTTCTTGGCCCTGATGGGCCAAGGGAACAAAACATTCTCACTATGGGTAAACAATCTCCATATTCCATTCTACTTTGGCACAATACAGGCACGGTGAGAGAAAAGAAATGTGTTTTCCTTCTTCTCTGCTTGTCTCACAGCTTCTCTCTTTACAGAGGGCATGTGTATACCACAGATTACTCTTTTAATTGCATCTTACTCTCCTAGTAAGAAAAAGTAAAGGCAGCATTGAAGGAAACCCACCTGAAATTCTGCATGAATTGCCGAAATTTGCTGGCTCTCTTGGCCAACGGCACAATGACATTAATAAGTGTGTCAGCCATATTGACATTTTCATTTTTCACTTTCATTACAGGACCAAATGGCCGGAATAAAACAATCTTCTTGAACTGATGTTTTGCATCTCCTTTGAAAGTCAGCTCATACAAGGTGCCTTTATTTTTTTCTGTACGGTAGATCCCTGCATGAAAACAAAAATTAAGAGATTTTTGTATTCAAGTTGGGCTCCTAGGGGGAAAAAGGGGGAAAGTCTTAAGTTGCTCCATGTAAGCTGAAAACACAGCAGAGGCAATGAGATATTTACTTTTATACCAATACACAGTCCACTATCATTTGGAGGAGGCCATCACTGTAGCAGGGACACAGCCCTGGGTTGCAGGAGCTGTTTGGTATTCTTGCAGGCACATTCCAAGGCTTGGCTGAGTTACAACCCCCTGAAGATTACCAACTGCTCACTCTCAGTATAACCCAGCAGATGTACTGTCCTTATTTTTCAGACTGCTCCAATTGCACACTGCAGACATGCATGGTAATGGAATGCAGAGGGACTGCAAAGGCAGTCTGCCTCTCTGCAACAGAAGGGATTAGGCCATCTCCCAGAAAGGCAATTTCCTGATGAGCACTGGGAGGTTCTCTGGAAAGTCCCCTGATAAAACTTTGCAAACAGGCCCTAGCCATCAACTTCCCCCACTGTCAGTCAGGACAAAACTCTCCTGTTACTCAGTTCTCAAGAGACTGCTATTTTCTGTACGAATGCCCACTCCTGGTCAACTAATGGTTCTGCAAGGATAACACTACAGTTTGTCAGAGGCTAGACCGGGATACTTAATTCATACAATCATGTATTTATTTCCTGTATGGAAGAAACTTTTGACATGCTTGATGGCTGAAATTGCTCCGGTTCATGCTGAGAGCCAGCATGAACTATAAAAGCCTTGATCATGCCCCACCGAAATACTATAATATCCTAAATGAGATCAAATTGGCAAAAAGGCTATAGATTTTACCCACTGTAAATGATACTTCAGTCCCTACAGTGTATACTGAAATAAAGCTTTTTCACTGGAAATCCATTAGGTTTAAGAAAGAAAAATTAATGCTAATTCCAACCAGTCATTAAGCCACTGTAAACATCTTAACAACTTAATCAGTACAAGAGTATAATTGCAATGCCTTCCATCTCTTGCAGAAGTTAAAGAGACAAGCACAAATGTCTTGAAAAAAACTCCTCCTCTTAACTTGCTTTTCTTTTCTTTTTTTTTTTTTTTCCTCTCCATCTGGCTAGGAAGCATATCTTCTTCTGGTTATGAAAAACAAGACCAAAATAAGGCTTGCTTTTTAAAAAAATTTGGTTATTCCCTGATGTGTAACATTGCTAGGCATCTGACCCATAAGCTGTCAGCTCTGTCTGTATTTCTTGTGAAAGTCTGGGTCAAAGTTTTCTTCAAAGAGCAGTGACATAATCTCTTCATCTTGTATTGCAGCTTTTACATTGGTATAATAAAAAAACTAATTAGGTGTGATTTTATCTGGAGAGAGTTCTGTGGGCTGTCTTATATTCACTATCGTTCTCCAAGTCTTTTATTCTTAATGAACACTTCAGCTGGTTAATAATATATGCAGATTTGCTGATCTGTTATTCACTTCATGTTTTATTTTTAATATAAGCTGATTCAACAAATGCTCCAATCCTCTTTCTAGCATAGTAAATGAATCTAGGGAGATAGGAGCTCCATAATTCTTTTGCTGCTAATCTTTCAGCATTGTGCCCTTGACTCCTCCTAGCTTTTTTCATAAAGTCTTCCCAAGCTACAGACCATGAACTACATTTGTTATTGAATGGAGCTCTGACCACTCCGGCTGTTCGTCTCTGCATGGTCACCTGTAGGATGGCCTTGGGACAGCCTGTGCTGCAAAGGACAAGTCTGGACTCTTCAGATTTTCAGTCTTCAAATTGTATAATTTCTTATCTACAAAATTTTCTTCCAGCCCGACAGAGGTCTGACTGGCAAGGCAGCCAAGGGCACTCTGACCTCTCACTGGGCGGCCGTCTATTTTTATACTAAAAACTACGTACATCATATTTACCTTTATTTCCCAATACCTTTTACCCACATTTGCAAGTGCACCTTCATCAAGGACCAATCCCAAAGTGCCAACATCACCACAGAAAATGGATGACAAGAAGAAGAAAGAAGAAGGACAAGACACGCCCTGATCCCTCCATCCTGTCTCCATAACCCCCCTGTACCAAAATCCCAAAATCTACATTTTCACTCTGTAAATACTTCATTCTTACACCATTCATTCCCAAGTGATTCTCTTGTCCTCAAACAGGTGGCACATCCCTTGCAGGGTCAAAATCCAACCACCAGACACTTCTGGCAACATTCCAGGATTTCCGAGCCCCCCCCCAAGGGTTGTCTCGGTAACTCTGGACATCCGGAGTGATGTGCTGAGTTCCCACAGAGCTCCTCTGAATAGCGGCCCAACAGTCCCTTGATTTCCTCCTCCTGGTGGCCAAAGAGTAGAAATCTGGGCCTTTGAACTCTGCTCACCCATTTATTCTTACAGAAAGCCTGCTGATGATCTGAGTGCATTTTTGGGTGCACTCATTTGCTCAGGCAGTTTTTGAACACAGGTTTTACCAAAGATGTTTGTGTTTGAAAGGTTAAGGCAACCTTCTGACATTCAGATAAACAAAATTCTAAATTAAATCTGATTTTCATTCCCTTTAGAGATAAATTGATAGGACTGTTTCATATGTTTGACATAGTGAACTGACCTTTTTTCATAATAAAAAAGTTCTAAATTAAATTAACAAATTTAATAGTATCTACCACACAATATTTCAGCTTTTGCTTTTACATTCTCTTCTACCTACCCCAGCCAAGAAACAGTGACCCCACAAATTCCACTTCCCTGGAGAGATGTAATATCCAATAAAGGAAACCTTGTCAAACATGACGTAGCTTAAAGATGAATGCAAGTTTGGAACCTGACTGGGGTCCCTCATAGGGCTATACATACAGAGGCTGCTTCTAAATCTGTAGTTTTGTTCTTGTTTAGTACCTCTACTATGGCTGAAAACAAGTAGCTTTGGTGCAGGCATTTGTACAAAATGGTAATCCAAGAATTTATAATCCTAACATTTTATACTGAAGAGAACTGTATGCAAGTTTAATGCCTCTAATTAAATATGGCTATTCTTCATTAATATTTAAACTATTTGTTTTTCATTTTTAAAAATGTTCTTTCCTTTTAAAGTATCTTCTTTTTAGAAGCAGAGAACAAAGTGATTTGCCCAAGGGCAGGCAGTGAGCCTTGGAAATGAGTCTGAATGTCTTGAGTCACTCTGGCGACTCACCCAGCAGAACATCCTGCCTTTTACAAATGTTTTCCATTTCCAAAGGCTCTACTTTATTTGTGCCACCAGGACTTTCTATGTGATTCAGGAAGATGTGTCAAACAACCTCAATTCTGAGACATGAACTATGAGGAGAGGAAAAAAGTAGTCTCAAAAAAGTAAACAAAACCCCCTTTTCCTTAAAAGATTGCTTCTGAAATGAAAGCCTTGGAAAGGCCAGATATTAAATAGGGATAAAAGAAGGTTAATTGATCACCTATTGCTTCCATTACAGCAGATATGTTTCAGAATATGCACCATTTCTTTGAGAGGCAGAGAGAAAAGTCAAAGCCTTTGGAAACCCAGTGTAAAAAAGTAAACAGAAGCTCTGTGTCAGCAGATAGAATGGCCCTAAGATGAAGGGAAAGAACAGGTGAGAAGCAAAAATGGCCTGGGCTGAAAAACTGATGAAAGAGTAGTAAGTCTCCAGTCTTCAGAGCAGCAATTCCCAGAGCTCTCTAAAGAAATTGAAAACACCTGATGTCTACTCAGCAGGGCAGGCAAACAACTGCCAACTATGTGGATCTACATGAAATGTGTAACTAGCAAACAGCCACACATTCATAACAAAATACTGTTGAGTGGATGACAATTCTAGCCTCAGTTCTACAGACTACAGGCTTCAAGTCTCCTAGTGTCTCTAGAAACACTCCCTGGACTCATGTTCATTAGTTCCCTTCTGTTAGATGATGTAGGAGCCACTATGAGGATTTATCAGAATTTGTTGTCCTCGTTTTAACTCAGTGCTACAATGGTGTTCCCACTTCACATGCAGTAAAATACAGCATCTTATCCTTTGATGAAAAGCGTCATTCCTTTCTCCCAGTAAGCAGCCATGGCAAAATTCCATCAGATAGACCACTACCAGTAGCTGCCCATTTGAGGAAGCAAAGCTACTCCTTTTTCCTTTGCCTCTGAGACCTTGATTAAAATTTCAGTCACTAGAAAGCCACATACTTCAAGTAGGAAAACTTTTGATCCAGCATATTTGAAGGTGTTATGGCAGGGCACTTCTTAAAAATCCAGAGATTTTCTGGAGCTATTCACATTAGGAAAGAATATCATCAGGCAGTGATTCCATTCACTTATGGAACACACTACTGAGGCTTGTCAGTCTCCGAATTATCATCTCCATCTCTGAGAAAATGAGCAACTCCCAGATCTATTTGGTGCTGCTGCTATTTACATAAATTAATGACTAGACCTGTTATCCTGCTTTCTGAGCAAGTGGCTTTCTACTGGAAACAGAACAGTCCTTTGCCTGCTTATAATACACAGAAATTTCCTTTTTTTTCCCCCATGCTGTTTCTTACTGACTCCCCTTGGCAGAAAGCTAGTGAACTTGGTTCATAAGTGGGAGGAATAAAGGGGAGAGGGGAGCATTATAGCAGCTGAACAGTCCAAGTGCCTCTATCAGGAGAGAAGCTAAGCAGAGAAGCAGCCAGATGGATACATCTCAAGCTCCAGGGAGAAGGTGTGGCTCCCTTGGTTTTGATTAAGGGGGAGGGAAATGGAAAATTCCACTACGCGTCAGCTATTGCTCTGGAGGGAGAACTGAGAATCCTATCCAAATTTCATGTAACAGCAAATCTGCTGAGGAGTTTAACTCCGACGTAAGATATTAGGGTCATAGTCTAATTTCCTAAGTTACTCTGTCTAGAAACTGCAGAGAATTCAACACTAATTTTAAGATGCCAGAGAGACAAAACATTTCTCCTTTAATGCAAGAAGTGTTTGAAGAAACATTTCCCCTCTGCAAAGACAAGAGTAAATGCACAAAATTAAAAAAAAGGAAGAGATACAGACCCCAGCTGAGTTTATTGCCACACACCACCACCCTGCCTAACAATGAACTAGTACTGAAAAAGTGATAGCAGGTGCCAGGATCCACAAGAAAAGAAAAATCCACACAGGAGGCCAAGAAAACAAGATTACTGTGCACAACTCTACCTTCTAGCTAGACTCAGGATCAGCAACACACTTGAGCAAAGCTGGTGTCAAAGGCGTCTCTAAGTAGAGCAGAAACAAGGACACAAATCCCACATACTGACCAGCAGCAGTTCAGATTTTAAATCCTGTCTCTGACCCTGATTACCTGATTTTCATTTCAGCACATCTCTCCACCTGAACAACCTTAAGATGAGAGCAGTAGCCCCACATTTAACATGAGAGGCACACAGTTTTGTGTGCTGTTATTGCTTAAGCAGCTGGAAAACACTTAGAGGGTTAGTGCTATTACTTTCAGTGCAAATCTGGGCACTCCCAGAAATCTCCAGCTGCCCATGGCAGTTCCAGAAAATGAAAACAGCTGGCTTGGTGGCTGGGTCAATGGACTCATGGTTGCTGTGCTGCTGGACTTACACTAAGTTGCCGGAAGCTAACATAGAATCCAGCTGATTACTCATTGTGTAGGCAGTAGCACCTGCAGAGCACTGTTTCCAAAACAAGTTCAGAGTCCAAACTATACTTGAAATGCAGAACTGGAACAGATAATTCAGTCCTCCCTACACATACTGAAGTTACACAGAGCAATGGATTTGTCCTTTGATTGGCAGTTTCTGCCATTCTTGGGAGAATAAAGTTGGGGGGGAGAAAGAGTGACAAGTCACAGAGATGTCCAAAGGGATTTGGCAGAGAAATTTTCTGCCAAGTCTCTTTGTTTCCAGCCCCAGTACATGGATCACTGCATTGGCAAACAGATCAGTCTGCACTGATGAGTGAGAATTAGAATTTATTCCCTTGAACCTGCAGAAGTAAGGACCTGCCTCACAGGGGAGGACATAAGGAAGGTTCCTTGAGCTCAGACTGAGCTGTGCAGAGGCCTCCAGTTTCTTGAGCTCTAAATCATGTGAAAGACTTCCTCCCTCTGGAGAATTTCACCATGGTATAAGAAAGCCAGCAAGACCATTAGTGCATGAAGAACCTCCACAGAGCCAGCACTAGCATGCATCTCTTCCCCACATCTTTCTGCACTTGTTGCCCGAGCACAGCACTGGTACCTTGTCAAAGTCTCTTACTTATGCATAAAGGCAGGCTCACAGCTTAACTGGTATTAAGCAATGTGTTTCAGGAAACATCTCCTTTCTTGTCACCTTCTCACATGGAAAAGGTGGTGCCAAACAGTCATACCTTCTTGTTCAGCACCTATAAAAACTGTAGAAACATATTTTGAAAAGATAAACTAAACAACAAACAGAAAGGAGGAGAATGGCAGCACGGATTTAAACTGCAGTTGCCAGTGTTAACTCTGGAAATAGATCTGGGATTGCAGTCTGGTCAGTCACTCCTTTTTGAGGCAAACACATGACTAGAGAGCTGTGAGAACACATTGGTGTCACTATAGGACACAAAGTTGTCACCAGGTCCTGTTCCCCAGGAAAGCTGCCATTTTGCAATAGTGCCTGAGACAGCATCACTAGGTCACAGCACTGACACCATCCCAGACATCTGTGCTCTGACACAGCTCCCATCTCCCTCAGCAACTCAGTCACCCAGAGCTCCTCCCCAGCACTGTGTGGACCTGCTCTCTACATACGAACCTTCCACGAAGTCGGAGGCTGTGTATAGGCGGGGTTTTGCTTTGCTGACCCCGTCTGGCTTGTTCAGGCTCCCCACTGCTAACTCGATCACCTCTATCAACTCATCTCGCTTGTCCTTCCTTACGGGCTTCTCCTCCGGGTGCCGTGTCAGCCCTGTCTCCAGCTGGTAAACCTTCTGGAGGGTGAAGCTCTCAAAGGGCACTGCCGCGTACTCTGTGGACAGCTTAATACCGCTGTGCACCTCTGCTTTGTCTACTTGGGAACGCAGGAAGGCCAACAGGTTGGCCTGGGCCTTCTCTGGCTTACTGTGGTCAAGCTGAATGTCCAAGGGGTCTGGGTACTGGTTCTGCATGTTCTTAAGCTGCTCGGTCCTACCCTGGAGCTCAGCTTTCAACTGGGCAATTTGTTTCTTCAAGCTGATGATGTAATTGCGGTGCTGCTCCTCTCGCTCTTGCAGAATGGCTTCATATCCCTCCTTCACAGTTGGACCGTGCACCCTGGGCAAGGCAAGCTGCTGGTTGTCACCCTTGGGTGTGCAAGCCAACATATAAAAAATAGACACTGAGCAACAGGCCACCACCAGCAGGCCTATAAGTCGGGGAAGAAATAGAATAAATCCTCGTCGGAGCATCATATCTCAAAAAAGCAGAGTCTAACCCCACACATGCAACAGTTCTTATATCCATGCAGTGCCACAGAGGCCTCTGGTCTTGGAGTACTCTTACACAGATACATGTATGTGCAGGAACTGGTTTGTCAGCTCTCTTGAAATGTGTTCTCTGCCTCTGTATGGAGCTCTCTCTGGTGTGTACTCAGCAGGACCAAAAGACAAGTTGTGAAGCAAACAGGACACGTCCTGATCCTCATGGCAACACCTATGTTGTTGCAATATGATCAGATGGTGGCTGATGGAGCCTGAGGACCTGAAAGATAAATAACAAAGGCAGACAAGTTAGAATTTGGTCATTCTAACAGTCCAGACCATTTAGCGTGTTCTAATTTAGCTTGTTTCTCAGCTGCTCTAGCAGACCTCAAAGCTGTGAAGTGCTTGGGCTAAGACCCTAAAGGTGCCAAGATCCTTATCTGAAAAATCCCATATGTATCCCTTTCATTGTTAATAACATGGCTTGGCCCATTGCCCATGGGAAACTAGTCCAGGCCTCAAAGACTCCCATGCTTCACCATAACTTGGAAGAGTCTAGTGGTCAGATGCTAAAGGGCTCAGTTCATCCAGGCATTGATGGCCCTTCAGGTGTTCTCAAATCTTGGAGTGTTCACTCAAGTTATGAAAGGAAGGCACTCAGTCCCACAGCTACCACATACATTTTAGCTTCCAGGCAGATTTTTTCAAAAATGCCACATGACAAATGTAGTTCATTCAAACATATGAAGCCTGACCTGGAGTAGAAATCTGATAACCAGAAATCTAAAAACTGTTATCAAGGCAAATTACTACACTGACATATATCCTACCAGATGCTCCCATAAAAACCAGATAATGAGGAAGAGGACATATTCTAGGAACACTCAGACCGATTTTACCCAAACTCAACAGAAGCTTTGTTGCAATTTTGAAACTGTCATCATTGCACATTTTTTTAACATTTCAAGACCCTCTTCTGTTTCTTATAACATTATGAAGATCTTTGAAAAAATGTACAGTAAGACCATGTTTTCCAGTCTGCCTAGGACTATAGACCACAGAGAAGGTGGAACTGGGAGCATTATAATTTTTAATACAACTTCTTCAAGTATATATAGATAAGGGAAAAAAATTAGATTATTGAAGTTGAATATTGATCTAGCTATAAGCTACATTAAAACAATTGTGCTGAGAACATTACCAGAGAGATTTTCAAGTCCCTTGGGTTTGACCCAAACCCATGCTGGTGCAAGGAACTTCATCATTTACCCTGTACACTTAGGAGTCAAGGCTGAGTGACATCCTAGATTACACATTGTTAGACATAAACACAATCAAATTAACCCCTTGGTGCTCTCCCCTTGGATGCATGCATGACATCATTACACTCTTTTGACAGAGAGAGTCACAGTCCTTTTAGGCATAAATTCTTGCTGGCACACCCTTAAGCAAAAGCAGTTTGACTAAGAATAAGACTTTCAGAGTTATTTTCAGTTATTTCTAGTCTTGAATCAAGGTCTTATGTAGGACTTTTTATAAAACTGTTCTGTGGCTTCCCCCCTCCTGCCCTCCCCCCCATCTTGATTGACTGTTGCTCCATATGCAGCAGTTACACAGAGATATTTCTGATGTTTGGACTGTTATTATTTTATCAGTTTGCAGAGCTTCTGGGAAAAAAACCAACTTTGAGCAGGAATTGAGGGGGCTAGAATGAGCCATAAAAATAGTACTGTGTTTTTTTCAAAGTAATGCTAAATTACTTTTATAGCATTTCTAGGATTCTCCAGAAAATGTCAGAATTTTCAAAGAAAGAATTGCTGATTTTCAAGAAAATATTCAAGCAGCAGGACAAAAGGACGGGATGAAGTTGGCGCCCTTACCTTTTTGATGTGATTTCTTTGGAACATCTTGGTCTGCTACAGCTTCTTCTCAGCTTGCCAAAACCATTGCCTGTTTATCTCCCTTCTCATGCCTTTCCCAGAAAATGAGTGTACTATGAAAAGTGCTGTCCACCTCAGAACACCTCTTCATTGCTTTCACATTTGTCAGCTGCCTACATCTTCAGTCTGTCTCTCGTGTGGTGAAAGGCTGTAGTGGAGACGCTTCCTATGGATGCACTAAAAATGTTGGCCTCCTGCAATGTAAAGGAGCTTGTCAAAGCAGGGAAAATTAATCTGGGCATTTCTAACTGTACAACAGATCTGGCTAGAAGACTGTAAGAAGGTAGTGTGCAGGGAGACAGGGTCAGGAAGTGGTGAGATGTAGTACATAAAACACTGCTGTGCTTGTATGCTTCCCTTCACACAATTAGTCCATTGACTGAATTGGCAGAAGCTGAACATCAGTGAAAGGATTAGTTGTCCTAACATGGTATAAACTGAAATTACATCTCAATGGCTTAGATAAACACACTATTTAATTTCTCTAAGCAGCTACAGATTTAAGTTCTGGTCAAAGAGCTCTTCAAACGTTGACCTTAGAATATATATGTATATAGATAACCATCTTCACTAAAATGTAGTATCTCTCTCTTCAGGGTACTATCTCTTTTCTATATAGTTTTCTGGTTTGAAATCTCTGCCATCAAAGATGCATCTTTATAAACATTTCAGAACAGTAAATTAGCAGAGCTACTTTGTCCTTTGAAACACCATTTTCATAGTAAGGAATTGAGACTATGGGGACTTTAACCTTCTTCACCTTCTTTTACCATTTTGACTGTAGACATCCTGACAAGAATCTTTCATTGCTTGCACTCTGGATCTGTCTTATTAAATTGTACTGGTAGCTTCAGTGGCATTGCCTTACAGTGGCTGACATTTAAATATACAGCTGTTACTGTACTACTATCTCATGGACATGCTTGTGAAAGCAGTCCCTATCCTGGTCAGTGCCAAAATAAGCAGATTACTTTAAATCAACACCAAAGGTGGTCACAGCTAAGGCAAGTCAGCTGCATAGGCAAGTACCAGAAAGCCAGGGATGGTAACTCCTCCTAACAACCATTCTGTTGATTTCACCAGACCAACAGAGTTTCACACCAACTGAGATGAAGACAGACTGAAATGTCAGTTTTTTTCCTAGGAACTGACAAAAACGCCTCTGTATTTCACAGCAGTCAGCTGCATCGAGCAGCATTAGTCCATTTGCAAGGAGAAGCTGTAACAAATATGCAGTGATTAGTCTGGTGGCTGAGGAAAAGGACATTAATGCTTAAAAAAGCCTTCACTTGCAAAAACATCTCCAACCTCAGTTCAACCTGTTAGCCCAACCAGAGGTCAGCCCTGCTCACAGAGGTGCTTTTCACTTGCTTTCAAGGAGCCTGGGCCCAAAAAATGCTCTAAACACAGAAACAGATTCTGTCATCACTCTAAGCACTCTATAAACACTTCTGCACAGTGGAGGGTGCTGCACCCAATCACAGGGAGCAGCAAAAAATGAAAATTGGTTGGTTTGAAATTTCAGATGGTATGCACCCATCACTGTTTCTCACCAACATCTGAACTTTTATTGGACTGTAGAGATACAGGAAATTCCTCTCTGCACAGAAATAACAATGTATTTCAAGTCTGAATTTTTGGCTCTCGAAAACCACACAGAGAATCTGTGCGGGAGAAAGGGACTCAAACCAAAGTAGCTCTGTACATATATCTCCTCTCTGAGCTTCACAATTTCTGCACTCCTCATGTTGAGGACAGAAATGAATGGCAAAAGCTCAGTCATATTTGCAGAGGTAGTGATCTCTCAGCACATGTGACATGAGCAATGCCGTATAATTCCATGTTTTTAAGTACTTTCTGCCACAGCTTCTTATTGTAGGTGTAACTCAGACTGGAAACTCCCATTTTAGCTCATAAAACTTTGAAATTCCTTTTATTTTCTTTTTTTTCAGTAGAGGCAGTAAGTGGCAGAAGCTGCAATTAGGTTTTGTGTAGGTGTTTGAAACATCTTCATTGAATAGCAGTACATGTCACTGTGAGATTTCAGTAGAATCATAATAATCTCTGAGATGAGCTGTGGGGAGGAGGAAACAGATGTTCCACCCAGACTTTAAGTGCCTTACAAAAATAGAGAAAGACATTCTGCAGCCACTTGTAATTTGCCTTGATCTTCTTAATTACAAGGACTGTGCATAGCACGGCAGACAAATTAGTCTGCTTTAAATGTTAGGAGCAAGATTTTTCCCCTTAGCTTCTCAACAGAAATCCAAGACCCTCAGCAGAATAGAACATGTCACAGGGACTAAAATTTAGTCTCACATAACAATTTACATACTTTATGCAAAAATTAATTTTATTTCTCCTTATGGCTAGATCATGATTTCTCAACTACTTCTCAGCCCAGTTCTTCTGTCTAGGGCTAAATTAAACAGAAGGCTGAGTAAAGCAAAAAGCCTGTCTGATAAATTGACTGGGTGTACATTCTTGGCCTTCTTGTATTGTCCCCTGTTAAAAATGCCACTGCTCCCTCTTGGGTTGACATTCACACAATCCCAAACAAAACACTCAAAATCTTAACATCTGGTTTCCAATCTTCAATCCAAATAAAGGGTTAGTAAGAAATAGTATCCAAAATGAAAACGTTAAACATTAATAGTTGAAGACAGTAGACGACTTACTGTAAAACTCTTCATTTCCTAATCTTTGTTTCTAGAGTCATCTTCAACAGAAAGTCTTACTTACATTGTCACATGTTCTCTCAGAAATCCTCAAAATCTAACCCTGCCCACAGAAGGACAATTACACTGTTCCCCTCTGTAAATAACAATTACAGACTGATCCTCTTGCAAATAGGTTACAACAACAGTTAGAAGCTGACTTCAAAAGAAGAAGCCCTCAAAACTTTAACAGTCGTGGAAATACTGTATTTTCCTCTTGTAAGGGAACTGAGAAGTAGCTGTTTCATTCAAGAAGCAGCTTATATTCAAGACACTGTTATAGACTTCTCACTCTGGAAGCTACAAAACCAGTGCAGAAGTCCTAACTTTTGCCTTTGATAGTATCTGGACCCCATTTCTGCTAATTTAATTGGGTTCCTCTTATAAGGGTGAAGCATTAACTTAATCTGCTGTGCCACTTTAGCTGAATTCTGAGGTCCATGTGTACTTGTGTTAGACCATCCACTTACATGTGGTCTCACTGCTCATGAAGGGAACTTTCCCAAAGACAGTCCAGAACAGAAATCAAGATTACTCTGAAAGCCTTCTGCTGTCATATGCAGTAAACATGCCAGAGTTGTTTTAACTTTTATAGTAGCCATTATTACTCTTACAGTAGACATCCAGTAATAATTATTTCTTCTACAGTATCATTTCTGTTTTAAATAAAGCACTCAAAAGGAGTACTGAGGTCCCTTGGTCCTTCCAGTGCATACCTATTCTGTGTGTGGGTTTATCAATGTGTATAAACACAAAAGAGTGAAAGCACCATTGCTTTCCTTTCTCCACTGTTAACAAAACTAGTTTTAAAGTAAAAAAAAACACAGAGGATAAACAGTAATTAATTTCTAACTACACCTGAAAAGAACCAGTGTAACACCTAAAATTATCTCCACAATTCAATAACATTGTTTTTTTCTGATAAAACCCCATTACTTCAAGTAACTGCAACAACACTCCTAAAACTGCTTTCTCTGCCTCAGAGCAATGTTATCTGTGTAAGACCTGGCAGTTCTCCAGAGATCAATAACCAGTCATTCCAAGGGTCTGTATTAGGAATGCTATTTTTTGCATGAGATTTCCACTTTACAGCCAAAACACACCACCCTTCTCTGCTAAACACGCTGATCTATAGATGTGCAACCTGCACATCCTCAGTGCAACTATCAGCTGGGGGTACTACAGGGCACTTCCAAAAGCCTTCACAGGACTTTCCTGAGAGTTTCTACCACTCTGTCCCTCCTCCAGTAAGGACATGACTGATCCATGCCTTGTCAGGCTCCAAAGAGAAAATGCAGAGAAGAGATGACAAGCATGCGATGCTGCTGCAGAGATGCTGTGACTCACAAAGACCATCTCCGTGCTACTACAAGACAAAAAGACAAGGTTTTTCTCTAAAGGTCCATTTCTCATTATCAGGCTCTGGCCTGGAGTTTTAGGAATTCAGTTACTCCAAGAATGTTTTGAACTTTGCTAAAATAGAGACAAGAACTATGCTTTTGAGTTGAGCTGGAATTCAGCCTGGTCTTTTAAGAGCAAATTAGCAAACTACCATAGTTTCCAGAACTAAAACATTGTGGTAGGGCAGGACAGCTGAGATGTTCAACTTAGCTGGAAGATCAGCATCTTCTGAACGTGACCATCACTTTAATTTCATTTAGGTGAGTACCATCTCTGCTTTGTAGATATGGAAAAAAGGAGCATTTTTGTCCAATCATATGAGATGCAAGAGCCCTATACAACATCAAATATAGCAGCATGCTGAGAACAGTTTCTTTTTGTAGGAAATTAGCTGACAAAACAAGGACAAGCTACAGCCAGGGAACAGCTAAATAATGCTATTCTAATTTACTTCATTTTAAGATCTAATTCAATTTCTATGCATGTAGAGAGCTTCCAGACAGACTAACTCAGCTTTAACATAACACCAATCTATACCAGCTTATGAAATATCTTAGAATCAGAGTAATAAGGAAAAAACACAAAATCCTTTAGTATTTCCTTGTTAAAACAAATAGTGGAATAAATTTTGCTTATCCATTTAATTCTGTACCTGGGAAAAAATGCTATTATTTCACTTTGAAATGTTTACACTTGTCCCCTTAGTGATTCATAGAAGCAAAAGAAAGCTGACTGCCACCACGGGAATGAACAGTCATTTCTTTTAAGAATGAAGGTGTCCACAGCTCTATGAAAGTAGCTCAGGTCAGCAAGCCCTGTAAAATTGAAGAGATCTACACCTATGTGGGGACACTCTGTGAATGCTTGTTGGTTTAGACCATCTCTTCATGAGTGTTACTTAAAACATTTTCTTGTACAAAGTTCATATTGATGTCACTTTATGCAAGGAACCCCAAAGATTCTACCAGAAGTACATCCCAAAGTTCCACAGCCAGATTTTCAATGAAATCTGAAGCCCAGTGTATGCACACCTGTGATGTAGGTCATGAATCAGGGAAGGTTTAGCACCTATCTAT